AGCAGAGTAATGAAGCCAATTCACAGAGGGGGATTGTTAGGAGGCCATGATTGATAAAGGCCGATGGGGAAATTTGGCCAGGATGCCGGGGTTACACCCCTACTCTTTTCGAGAAACACCCTGGGATTTTTAATGACCACAGAGAGTCAGGACCTCGGTTTTACGTCTCATCCGAACGATGTCCCGTTCTGTTGAGTTACAAAGGGTGTATGTTCATCTTTTTCAAAGTGAATATTTGGGATCAAAACTTCAAAATGGTAGATATGTGTCCAAAATGACTAGAAGCTGTAATTGCTGCCAAAGTACTGAGGGGGTGAATACCTTTTCGGTTCTTTGTTTTTCTTAATGGTTTTTGCTGACATTACCTTCTTTCACCCATAAAAGTGTTCGGTTTGAGCATTCAGGGTTTGATTAAAATATTATCCTAAAAAGAAAGATGTGTATATATCAGCTGTAATTGAACACAACAGGATGTCTTTGGAAGGAGTGGATATGCTCCCAAGGCACTGCATATTAAACTTCAGTTTAAAGAATTTTTTTTTTAATTCCTGAACACAAAATTTGTAATATTGTCTCACCTGTGGTTTGCAGGTCAGTTGTCTTCATGTGATGTCTTTTCATTTGTGAAACTCATTCCAGAATTCTAATGCTTACAAGTGGGAAATTTAGAGATTTGAGAGCGTGTTTGTGTTCATGTTATTTTGTATAAGCAATGAATCCTTTTAATTACTGCCTCTAAAATCCTGACAATAAAACTATCCCTCATGTTTTTGTCTGTTTCAGCAACACTCAAGGCATGTGCTGATGGAGGAGCAAATCATCTCTACGACCTCACAGCTGGGGACCGGGAAAGGTAGAGTCCTGGTTTTTCCTTCTGGTTTTTGTTGGCTATTTTTAATGTCAGTAACTTGTGCTCTATCCAGCCTGCAGAGAAGGATATTATACTGTTAAGGTCTTCATGTCGCTGTGACTCTAAGTGCATCGCTGAGTTTGAGGTGTCTTTCTGGGGACAAGAGGGCAGAATATTTCTGCAGCTCTGACTCTCTGTCTTATTTGACTTCAAACTAAACAGCGTGACTAGAGAATACACATATGGAATCAGAACTTTTGATCATTTCGATCATGACTATTTTATTTAAGATTCATGTTAAAGCTAACAGCTGTTTTTTGTTATTAAGCAGTATAAACCCTACGCAAAACCGATTAGTAGAGACACTGGGCGGATGTCAAAGTCATGGTTTCTGTCTGCACTCTGCTAGGTTTTGGCCTATGTCCTATTCAGGCTTGGTGTCCATTTCAGTGGAGTGTCTCTTTTTGAAGAAATGGCCAAGGGGCAAAAAGTCTCAAGATTAAAAATAATCTTTGCTCTGCCTTCCGAGGTTAGACAACAGTTAATATTGAGGAGCAAAATAGCAGAGATGACAGGAATGGAGCAGGTTACAGCAGACTGTTTCCAGTCTAGGATCACAGGTTAATGACAGCGTTGGAGTAAGACAGCCTGGGAACAAACTTAAGCTCACTGCTGTCCACAGTACCACTTCACTTCACACCATCAAAATAATGTTCCAGAGCCGTTGGAGTGTAAAACAACTATAATTCCCAATTAACTTAGCTCATTTCATCACCTCAGTCACGTAAAAATAATATACGTATCTCCACGAAAAAGCTGTGAGCACATAGCGAATACAGTATAACTGAGTTCAATGTACTTGTTCATTAATGTACCGTTATTTTTTCACACCTCTATAAGGCTTTGTTTTAATCAGTTTTAATAATCAGCATTATCATTCACAATCTGCATAACATGCTCATTTGTTCAGTTAATAAACTAGAACTGGAAAAGAGATCAAGAAGAAAGATTGAGAGGTAATGCTGAAGAGTCAGACTTCACAGGGGACAGAAGACTGTATGGATGCTAAGATAAAAAAAACGATGTTTTCATTTTTTAGTTGAATGTACGTAATGACATCTCTCATCTGGTGGATTTGTGTAGATTAAGTCAAATTGTGCCTAGTAGTTTGTCCTTGTTTGTCTTTGTTTAATTTTCTCTGCCATTAACATTTCTTGAATTGCTCCTGTAGGGCCTGTCATGCAGCATACGTAAGTTTCAGTCTAGTTAAACTAGCAATACAGGAAAAATTAAAGAATTGCAATATTGAACCAAATAGTAACAACTCTTTTACAGAACCCACCCAGAGAGCCCTGACCAGCAGGTGTTGTAGGACACCCTTGAGTCACCAGTTTCTAAGAGCCCTGAGATGGACTAGCACCACGCCCCGAGTGTACCCTGCCTCACACTCATTGCTTGCTGGTTTAGACTCCAGCTCCCCCCTGCAACCCTGTGCTAGATAAGAGGATGAGGAAATAGATGGATGGATAAGAACATAGGAAAAGTTATAAACGAGAGGAGGCCATTAGGCTCAACTGGACCGTTTGCTAATTATCCCAGGATCTCATCCAGGTGTTTCTTGAAACAAACCAGGATATCGTCTTCATCAGCATGGCTTTTAAAAGCAGTTCCACTAAACAATATCATTGTGAAAATTTAGGCTGGCGATATGTTAAAGTAAGAAATACCAGGGTCAATGAAGAAGTGAGGTGAATGTATGAATTACCCAAAAACTACACCACTAGGCAGGAATGTATTTATTTTTTCAAATCGTTCCCTTTCACATCCTGACATCTTCTTCACTGCTCTCAGAGCTAAATGGTGTTTGATGGTCACTGAGCCCGTCCTGCGATCTCTTCCGGGCTCCCCCGTCATCGGCTCACACGTTCTGACCTCGGAGAGATTCGAATCTTGAAATCCTTCGCAAGTGCAAGGCCTCTGAGGAGGATAAGTCACAAATTCACTTCAGTTACTGACGTGCAGAGCTGTGGCTTTGATTTGAGTCCTTCCACTAAGGTAAACATATTGTGGGATGACATACTGTATCTGACCCATACAGTAGGTGCTGTGAGAGTTGTATATCACATTCCTCCAGTAGTGTCTATGTAAATAGAGACATACAGATGTATACAAGTCCTACTGAACAAAAATAGCTCAGAACAGTCCTATATGGTAGAGATAATTTAGCAGAATATAATAGAATTAAAAAAACATTCATAGTTTAGAAACTGAACTATCAGTGTTGCCTATAATTTAATTACCAGAATAAAACTGCTTATGAGTATGAGTTAAAAATACAAACTTCCTTTAGAAATATTTGCATTTGAATACAATCAAAAAATATCCAGTTGAATATATTGATATTTATTAGTTTTACTGACGTTTGAGCTTTGGCATGCTGTGCTTTTACAGTACTGCAATGTAAAAAATATGGCCTTCATCCTTGGAAAAGTTCAGGTCTACTAATGGAATGGGTTGTATCTTTTCTATGTCATTGCTGCTGACTGCTAAGGCAACCAACCATTTTGTGAATAACCAGCATGGTCTAATCAAAGCCTTTGTTGTGGCATTTTTCAAAATCAGATCAATTACTGCTTGCTGGTGCAGGAGCACAAAATACAATAGCCTTTTTGTTTAATGGTATTTTATTAAAATTGACCCTATATATTCTCAACAATAATTTATAATGTTCCCAAGAAATGACATTCATTAACATATCTGAAATTTGATATTTTAGTGATTGCAGTTCTAATAGTATGCTTCTCAAGGTACCATGAATTACTGTAATCAACACAGCAGAAACTGGTTTACCCTAATTATGTATCACCCTTAAAATTAGGGCTGTTAATTGAAAGCTTCAGCTGCAATTTGCCCATTGTGGCACCAATATTTGTTAATATTCAGAAGCATATCAGATAAATTCAGAATGGAAGAGGAGGTGTTTATCTCATTCCCAGATGATCTGTTTATTTCATTACTGGCCACATAAACTTTTAGTAGAAAAGTATTGGATACTTTTTGAGGTTTTGGGCCAAGTTCATTGGCCTGAAAATAAGATGAGTCAGAGGTGTCCCAGAAGACATGTTTTTTTAAAGCTTGATGCCACACTCTAGTTGAAAGCTGGAAACTAAAGAGTTCACACAGTATCACCCAGCACAACTAACAGCACATGCAACTGTCAGTGACTTAATGCAGCCTGGGATGATACTCTTTTAGCAGCATAAGAACAGTTGCAGACAAGAAGAGGCCACTGGGGTCTTCTGACCCGTTTGGTATTTACTAGTTAATTGATCTGTGGATCTCATCCAGTTGTTTCTTTAAGGAAACCAGGGTCATGGCTTCAAAAACATGGCTGGGCAGCTCGTCCAAACCCCCACCACCTTTTGTGTACAGAATTGCCTCTTGTTCTTAATTTTAAATTTGACCTCTGCATTGTATTCCAGTGCTGATTCAGAAGAAATCTGGGTTAACATTGTCAATGTTTCAGAGAAAGTCTGAATCAGGTCCCTTCATAGTCTTTCTTCTCTGTTCAAGACTAAAATGATTAAAGTAAACATACTTGTTTTTCTTACTTCAAACAAATAAAATGAATATGTGCATACTGCAAATACAATACTGTATAACAGTTTTCCATGCATGTCAAATATTAATATTTCTGTTCATTTTCATATTTTATTTATGGGCGTATTTACTTTATGCATTCACATATCACTTTAATACTCAAGTATTTTTCACAGCTGTGCTCTAGAGTTTATAGATCTTTAAACCTCCTCAGCCAGTCCCCAATTTTCACTTTCTTTTATATTCAACAGCGTAAAATGAATTTTAATTTTCTTAATTCTGTACTGAAAACAATCAATACTCTGGAGCTGTTTCAGTTTTTTACAAAAGGCTTCGACATACCAGTGAAATGTTTTGTGTTTATTCTCTTCCTAGTTTTTAGCGACTTGAACGAGATGGTATTGCCAGGGATTTGGTTTTCGTTTTAATTAGGAGGTGAGAACTGATGTTCCGTCCCAGAGCTAATTGTGTGGAGACAGTGTTGTTTGTTTGCTTTTGAGTCCCCACAACTCTGCGTTTGGGAGATTACAGCCAAGACCTGCACAGCACCACAGGATAATACCAACAGCATTTGATTCCTTTCCAGCAGCGCAGATGTAATTAGGCCTTAAAAAAAAGTAGTAATAATACAAAATATTGAAACCAATCTCAAAACGATGGAAACCCTCATGGAAAAGAAACAGTTGCCTCTAACTTCCAAAAACAAGGCTGCTCAGTTACGATTCCCGCACATTTTATTTCCCTCTTTGATTACAGTAATGTGTGATTAGTGACCTTTGGGATGTGTTTCGTTTTTTTCAAGACTATTCTCCCTTGTTTGTCAAAGCCCGCAGTGTGCCACCAGAGTCCTGCCCAAATTACAGGAATCATCCCATGTGGGGAGCTGATTACCATATTCTTTGTGTGTTCCATGTTTTTAATGATGCTTTCTTTCATGCTAATAACATTTCAACCTTTTTTTTAGTGGGCAGCCATGCGTTACAGTGGAATCCTCTGCCTGGGAGTACCTTCGCTTTATTAAATCTAGGATTAGAAAGTCCTGGACGACTCGCTCCCTCCCTTCCCTTCATCCTTAGGTATGAGACTAGCGAGATCTAAGGTCAGAAACTGTCTGAAAGGTTAATTAACTGTGAATGAAAAGTGGTTGGTTGTAATTAAATAGTAATGCATTAGACACTGTGAAATATGACTGAATAATGCATTTCTAGCAGGCAGGGCCTGGAATCCTAATCCAAATTTATTATTTTATTACATATTCTATTATGAACTTCCCCCTGGGCATGAGTGTAATTTTCACACCTCACCTTGGCTGTGACAGTCAGAATGATGTGGACTGGTCAGTGGTTTGGAGATGGAAGAAAGATGCAGGATGGGGGAAAAAGAGGGCACCTACAGACCGCAGCGACAGACGTGGAAATTTTCCCAGTGCCTGGGTGTTTGCTGACAGGCAGGAAACTTTAAGAATGTGGGAGCTGGAGCACTTCATTAAGCTCTTCCTCAACTTAATAAAATGAAACCTTGACATAACAGTGATTGACGGTATCGTCTGTGTATGTAGTCGGGGTCACTGCAGTCTTCCTGGGTGCTGCGCTAGACTCTTTCGCAAAGTTCTGTTTTCAGCCGTCCTCATCCATCTTCCTTCTGGACACGTAGTGATTGTCTATTCCCACCTTACAGGTGATCCATTATTTCAGTGCTCCAACAGTGGCTCATTCTTCTGTGTCTATTGGCATCTTGGTCTTTTCACTCTCACAGTGGAGTCTCATACTGTACTTACACGTAAGTGTGTGCTTTAACCTTTCCGTTTAAGCGTCACTCCCTTTTTAAGGCCTAGAGCTAATTAAGTTGAGACATGGGATGTCAATACATACTGTATGTGTCTGACTATATACAGTATACATAGGAAGACATAATTGTTGAGGCTCAGTGCTAAATGAAATAAAATTGAAAAGCGTGACTGTATTGTCTTCCTCGGTAGTCTGATAAACAAACAGCCAGCACATTTATCAGTGTAAGTGAGTCTGTCCATATTGGACTCTTCAGTGCAGTGTAACGGTCCTGTTATTTTCTCCTGAGCTCCAACTGGCAGCTCCAAGCGTTGCTGAGGATGAAGGTACCCAGAAGACTGTAATGGGGCAAGAGTATAAAATGCTTTGCTGTTTTGTGAAAGCACACACAGGAAACTCTCTAAGGAGGCATGACTGTGCTGACAGGAGCCCTGGTGAACCAGTGTGAATTCTCCTTGACTGATCGCTGTGAACACACTGCAGAAAACCCGTCCTGGGACCCCACTGTTACAATAAACACGCAGGTCCATGAGTTTGGGCAGCTCACCCTGTTCGGGCAGGGAGCAAGTGTACCCTGCTGAGGGCGAAAATGAAAATGAACTTCACTTGGCTTATCGGTCAACTTTAAGTGCATGATGCTTAGATCTTGAATTAGTAAAAAAATATATATTCTTACACATGCAGATGTTTGATTAAATACCCACTGAGATGCAATTCATAAATACAAGGAAGAAAGAACAACATTTTTCTGGTCGAAACTGGAGGTCTCGGATTTGCAGGCAATCTCATCCAAAAAGTCAGAACATCCTCACAGATAATAGGACACTACAAAAGCCGCAGGCAATCCTAATAGGATTATACTTCCTCTAGGGAAAACTGAATGCAAACGTCTGCACTCCCAAGCACAAATTGATCCTTCTTGGTTCGGCTTTAGAAGAGGACTGTTTGAAATACTGAAATGGTGTGCAAAGTTATTGTTGTTGCTATTATTGTTGTTGTGGCTGTTGTTAATATTGCTGTTTTTGTTGATCATGTTGTTGTTGT